GATGATGATGATGATGATGATGATGATGATGATGATGATGATGATGATGATGATGCTGATGATGATGATGATGATGATGATGATGATGATGATGATGATGATGATGATGATGATGATGATGATGAAGATGAAGATGATGATGACGATGCTGATGATGACGATGCTGATGAGGCGTATGACTCCGACTCTGCTGCAGCTGAGCAGGACATTGTATCTCCTGCCCCACAGCCACAGCCACAGCCACAGCCAGAGCCACAACCACAGGCATTAGATGGCAACGTTTTTAAAAACTCTCACAATAAGTTGATGATTTTCGGCGGAACTTTTTGAGTTTTTAAAAGGGAAACCCTAAAGGTATCTGATCCTCCTCTTAGGTCGAGTCCTCCCGACTCAATCGGATTCGGGGGAGGGGGGACTAGATGATGTAGTATATCATACCAATCATCAGAGCTCGAATAGATCGAAGCAACCCGGTAAATTGGACATAGGTCGTAGCTCGGACTGACCAAGTTAGATTGGGACAATACATGGTGGTTTAGACACCTCAAGACTAGGTCGGTGGATTAAAATACAGCACCAGTTTAAATGGATTAGTCAAAATAAAAGTAATCGAGATACTAAGCTCGACCAACCGTAGGTCGAATGCCTCGAGCTCGCTGGTAGAAGCAGTGGTCCGAGCTGAGGGCTAGAGGCAACTAGATCGTAGCAACCTGATGACCTCAATGACTTATAAATCTCATCAGGGGGATTTATGTGAGTAAGGACCTAAAGAAGAAAAAAATACCAAATCTGAACACGATCAAATATGAAGGACAACTGGGCAGCAAGATCGGGAATATCTTGAGCAACAAGGTACTCTGGGTAATAAGATCGAGCAGATCTTGGGTAATAAGTTAATGACTCCATATAAAGGGGGTGTGGTTTGACTATCATTTTACTTCTCTCTTTGAACAATCTAAGGTGGTAATCTATCACTCTCAAAAACTGACTTGAGCATCGGAGGCTCTACGACAGGATACCCCCAGCGCTATTTTGCAGGTAATGGGAGCGGTTCATTCAACTTGGGACCTCATCGAGGTTTTTATATACATCAAGTTGGTTACGTTGTTTGTGGATTTGATTGACGAACAATCTAACACATTAGTATACCCAACTTGTTTAGGCACATTTGGCGAGACAACGCCAAGTTTGTAGACTAACTTGGAGAAATATTCAAATTTAGGTCACTTGGCCTAGAAAAATCATGAGCTCATGCAAATCATATTTGAAAAAAACTTATTTGGTAAGTGATTATGAAAAACTAATGTTAAATCATGCAATGAGTACGTATGTATTAGAATAAACGATCTTGATATAGTTAGCTAGATTGCTCAGTTGTGAGCCTAAGGCAATTGATATGAAAAGTTGACAGCTTCGTCGAGTTGATCTCAACATCGAAAAGTGCATCAAAACCCCCCTCTTGACCTCTGCAAGCTCAATGAATCAATTTTCGAGAATGAATGCAACTTATGAGGTACAACAAATAAACATTTCTTTATAGCACACAATTTTATTATTTAAATACAAAACTCTAAATAAATTTTCACTTAAAAGAAAAACTGTGTAATAATATAACTACGTAAAACAACATATGAAGAACTAATTAATAGTTACTCTTATGATATAATGCCAATGGACAAAGACCAAATGGTCGGATCAATCTACTTAAGTTTCATTCCAGCAACAGGATGGGGGCTTAATTCTCGCTGGAAATTTGAGGCATCGAGCAATTAACACTTATTCTCATAAATTGCACTAAGAACCTTAGAGTGCATTCCATTCATCTGAGGTTGGGCTCTTTGTGAGCAATGTACAAGCTCGATGGACATATTTGGGGGGCTTCGTGGGCGACTTGGATATACTTCCTCATGAAGTTATGAGACCGGTTTCTTGAGGAGCTATGATTAGTTTAGGCATAAATTGAGAAAGTAAGAACCAAATCTTTTGCATCCTTCTGGTCGGTTCGGATGGACAAGGGGTAGGAAAATATTTACTGGGCTGCTTGGGGGAATTATCTAAGGAAAAAGAAGAAGGTGGGTTAGGGTTTAGAAGTTTGGTAGCCTTTAAAGAAGCTTTGTTAATGAAACAACTGTGGAGGTTACTTACACAACCTAACCTTCTCCTCAGCAGAGTGATTAGAGGGAAATATTTCCACAACACAAGTCTTTTCAGTGTGAGGAAGAGAAGTAGTGATTCTTGGTTGTGGAAAGTTGGATTAATGTTAGAGATTCTTTTAAGAATGGTGTTAGGTTTCAGGTAGAAGATGGTCTTAATATTTTTGTGTGGGATTCACCATGGGTTCCTAAGTTAGAGAAGTTCACCCCTACTTGTCAGTTTGAGAGGGATAAAATAAATTCCAAAGTTAGTGATCTGACTGTGGGGGAGAAAAGGGTGTGGGACAAAGAACTTATAAACCAAACTTTCACTCCTTTTTAAGCTAGGGCAATTTTAGAAATTCATCTTAGCCATCTAGTAAAAAGAGATAAGTTAGTTTGGCATGAAGACACCAAAGGGATCTTCTCAGTCAAGTCTGTCTAGAAAGCTTAAAGATTCATAATGCAGGTGCTAGGATGAAGGCAGGTACAAGCAAAGGAAGCAACCAGAACAAAAGGGTGTGGAAGAAGACATGAAACTGCCTCTTTAACCGAAGCTGAGAAATTTCGTGTGGAGAGTTTACCATGGCTTTTTGAGCACCAACAACCAACTGTTTCAAAAAAGAATCAAGGTTGACATAATGTGCAGATTGTGTGGAGAGCAAGATGAGGATGTGGAACATCTATTCATCAAATGTGTTAAAGTGCCGAGATGTTGGAAGCTGTTGGGGATTGATTGGGAAGCTTTTAGAAGGCTAAATCTGAAGTTACAAAACTGGTGGTGGGAAATCAGCAGTAGCTCAAAGGCCAGATAGCTGACAGAAAGAGTTACTATATCTGTCTGTTTAATGTGGAGAGTTTGGAAAGTTAGGAACAACTTGATGTACAGAGGGGAAATCTTTGTCGAAAATGTTGTGGTGATAGAAGTTCAGAGGGACTGGATAGAGAGTCTGGATGGTAGAGCTGCTAAGAGTCAGCGCCATGTGATAAAGAATAGAACTACTGAGTACAAAGAGGAAGAATTTTTCAAAAGGGTAGGACTGGTGATGTTCACTGTCAGTGCCCTAACTCCTTCTTCTGACAAAGTAGAAATTAGAGGAGTGTCAGGGCTGGACAATGCAGAGATATTTGAAAGGAATACAATTTTTGATTGGACAAGAAATGAAGAGGAGGCCTTGTTGTTGGTAGTAAGGTGGCAGTTAGAGGTGGTTGAGAAAAAAGGTTGGGAAAAGGTGGTCTGTATCTTTCATTCTACGGACTTGGTTAAAAAACTGAATGATAATTATGTGTTTACAAATTCAATTCTTAGTTTAGCCTCTAATGTATTCTTTATTAAGTCGAACGGTTTTGGTATGAAGCCAACAGTTGGCTCCACAGTGGAGCTAATGTTCTATATACAACAAGTAAACCTACCATATTCCCTGACTACTTAAATAACACTAATATAATTTTATTAATACGATAAGTTTATTTATTGTATATAAAAAATTGGCTCTACTATATAGCCAACTGTTGGCTTCATAGCAAAACTGTTACACCGAATTGCTTGTTTCCTAGTTTTAGTTTGGTTTCTACTTGTGCTAATAGTTTTAAGCTAGCCATGTTGGCTTTGGAGGGAATACAATGATGTGTTGTTCTCGTGAACTTGTAATCACTTGATTACTCTTGTGTAAGCATTTGAGGTTTTAATGTTATTATGTTTCATTAAAAAAATAAAAA